CTAGACAACCATCTCCTGATTTAATAATTCTGAATACCAGAGTAGAAGCAGCTGTTGAAAAGTATGGACAAATCAAACGCCATGCAGAGATTTATCTAACAGAAATGGCTACTGCAGATTTAACCCGAAGGGAACTTCAGGAAATCATTGCTGAAATGACAATGTATGAAGATAAAATCCAAGATCAACTTGATCCTTTAATCAAACAAATATCTCAAGCAGGAACCCAATCCAATGTGAGCTCATCCACTCAACAGAGCAATGCAACTATCACACATATAGCAGCAGAGCTCCCAAAGGTACATTTACCATATTTTGAGGGCAAGGATGAAGACGATTGGGATACCTTCTGGAGAGCCTTTGATTCTATAATAAACTCCAACGCTTCTCTCAAAAAGGCGACAAAGTTTCAATATTTGCAAGGCCAGTTACGAGGAGAAGCAAGGCAGGTCATTGCCAATTTGTCATTAACAGATGATGATTACGACCATGCCTTACAGTTGTTACAAGATAACTACAGTGATAAGGAGACTGCTATTGCCCGTCTCTCATACAAATTATTACAGTCATACAAATTATTCTCTCATAGTCTCATTACAGCCATGTGTGGTAAAAAATGGCCTGTTTGCTTATTGTCGTGTTTCACGACTTCGATGAATTTATTCTTTAATTGTTGAGCAATAATCTCATGATAGAGTTTTAAATGCTCAGGCCTTTTTCTTAGCCTTGCTAATTGAGATTTAAATTAGCTATATGCCATGTGATAATTGGTAGGTAAGGTTTTATGGTTGATTTTCCATGGTAGCCTTACCCAGTATTGTCCATCATGGTACTGTACAGTTTCCAAGTACTGATTGTATGCACAGATATCATCAGGACTTGGTTGTTCAGGAATTATTCCTATGGCATCAAGTTCCCACAATTGATGTACAGATTCCAATCCATCATCAATCATGTGGGGGATTTTAAGTGGTGACTGTTCTTTGCCTAGCCAAGCCACGATTACAGTTTCTATATGATGTGATTTTTCAGGAGTTGAAGGTTCAAGATCTAGTATAGGTCCTGTCATCAATATGCCTCCTGCTGATTTGAGTATATTCATACCCATACATTCTTCTGATCCCAGAATGAATCGATGATAGTAGTCAGCTCCAATCAGGATTCCGATATTCCCTATGTGGTCAGAATCGAGTAGAGGATCTGCTAATTGGATTCCTTTTTCTTTTAGGAATTTAATTGTTGCTGCCAGACCGGTCACTTCCATTTCAGTAGGAATTTTATCAACTACTATGGATTCGACTGTCCTTTGGGATGTACCTAGACAGACAATGAGTTATACTACCGGAAAGGTTCTACAACCTGAACTGGTAAAAAACCCTGATATGGATGTAGATATTTGCTGTGAAGATTTAAGTTGTAAATCTTCTGCCATCTTTTTACTGATAAAGGTTTTCTGTGAACCTTGATCAAAAAAGCCTCTTGTTTGAATACAAATTCCTTGATTGCATAGTTCTAGCTGTGCAGTAGGCAATATGGCTGTTGTAACAATTTCTGTATCTAAGGCATTGACATTACTCATTACTGTACAGAATTGCACGGCTGTTGTGGTATCATCTTTTGGCTTTGCCTGAGATGCAGATTGATTATTGGATGTCTGTGATCTGGATTGAGTGTTGATATCACCACAGAGTGCTGTGTGATGTACACTTTTATGACAATATTGGCAGTTCTGCAACTGAGTGTTACATTCACTTGTATCATGCTTCCGTAGACAACGGATGCACCTGTTTAGAGATTTCAGTCGATTGATTCGACTGGCACGGTCTTCATAAATTGTGCATTGATAAATGGTATGTGCTTCTTGACAGAATAAGCATCTTGGGGCACTTGCAGCTCCTTTTGTCTTATCTGTCTTGGGAGTTATATTTCCTACAGTTCTGTTAACTGTGGGGGATATAGCATAAGAGCCAATATTTCTCTGTTTCCACTTTGTAGAAGAGGAGTTATGTTGCCTTGATTTTTGACTGCCAGTTTGGACATTTTTGTTTTTGTCCGTGGATTCACTTTTAGTGATTTTTTCTTGTGATCTAAGTATTCCTCGGCTTCGTAATCTTTGTACGTAAGCTCGAAGTCCATCAAAGATTTGGCTCTGTGATAAGATGTTGGTGTTATAATGGGTGCATAGGCTGTCTATGACCTCATTAGGAAGTTTCCTTTGAATGATTAACTTTGTAAGCCACTCTGCATTTCCTACAGGTACTTTTGTACTGAGGGCTTTGATGATTGATTCTATAGACAATCGAAATGATTGTAGTGACTCATAACTTTTATTTGGAGAGGGTAAATCCAATAATTTGTATGAGAGACGGGCAATAGCAGTCTCCTTATCACTGTAGTTATCTTGTAACAACTGTAAGGCATGGTCGTAATCATCATCTGTTAATGACAAATTAGCAATGACCTGCCTTGCTTCTCCTCGTAACTGGCCTTGCAAATATTGAAACTTTGTCGCCTTTTTGAGAGAAGCGTTGGAGTTTATTATAGAATCAAAGGCTCTCCAGAAGGTATCCCAATCGTCTTCATCCTTGCCCTCAAAATATGGTAAATGTACCTTTGGGAGCTCTGCTGCTATATGTGTGATAGTTGCATTGCTCTGTTGAGTGGATGAGCTCACATTGGATTGGGTTCCTGCTTGAGATATTTGTTTGATTAAAGGATCAAGTTGATCTTGGATTTTATCTTCATACATTGTCATTTCAGCAATGATTTCCTGAAGTTCCCTTCGGGTTAAATCTGCAGTAGCCATTTCTGTTAGATAAATCTCTGCATGGCGTTTGATTTGTCCATACTTTTCAACAGCTGCTTCTACTCTGGTATTCAGAATTATTAAATCAGGAGATGGTTGTCTAGCCAACTTTTGACATTTGTCAATCAGTTGAGTTAGGTGATTTTGTAGACCAATAAGTGTCCTTCTATTTCCTGTTTCAGCTGCTGGTGGAATACTGTCAGCCATTCTGACCTTTTCCGAGTTTCGGAGATTCCGAGATATTTTCTTTTTTCAGATAAATATGTATGATGTTAATGTATTTTGATAAATGAGCTTTCCTGTCTACTTAGGTAATGATTCCAAAGATCGTCCTTCAGTTCCTCCCCGGAATCTGGTTGTAGCAGGTGTTCAATTATCTAAAGTACTGTAATATTTTTTTTTTTTTTTTTTTTTTTTTTTTTTTTGAGATATATACAAGAGTTGTTACATTCTTGTACAGCCACTAGTACGCGTAGCGTTTCGGGCAGGTCCCTGGAATACGATCCCCTGCCGCGAAGAATCGTTTTTTCATCCAAGTACACATTTTACTGTTGCGTTAAACAGAGGCTACAGTTAAGGAATTGCGCCCAGTAAATCCTCCCCGGCCAGGATACGAACCCATGACATAGCGCTCGCGGAACGCCAGGCGAGTGTCTTACCACTACACCACGGAGACTGCACAAATAATTTGATTTGTGACCCGAATGCACCAAGTTGGTAAATCCTGTAATAATTTTTAAAAATAGTAAATGGCACTATTTTTGCAAAGTTATTACAAGACCTGTTACCATAATAATTGTTTGATAAAATACAGTAGAATGCCTACTGGTTTTACCTGTAATAGGATTTGATACAGTTGATTATAGTTAGATTGTAATGAAATGCTCTTACAGTGATAAAAATACTTTTTAAAGGATATTATGTAATGAGCAGCTCTGAAAATCAGTAGATTAGAGATAATGCTAGATAATACACTTAAATATGTATATAATATTACCATAAGTGAGGTAAATAATTGTGTTTATGATTAAGATGCAGTTGTGTCTTTGACACTGATATACTTAAGTACTGTGGTTTCTTAACACAGAACAATATTAGTATGCTATGAATGCTTACTAGTTAATGGATATGGTGGCTTAAGCCACTGCAAACAATATGTTTACTTAGATATATAGCTATGATAAATATTGGCTGATAGCTAGGTTAGGCTAGAATATGTAAAAATTATTCCAATGCAAACTCAAGAAGTTTCTTATGTATTTGCTGGAATGATATTTGGTAAATGAATGACCATAAATATCTAGGTTCGAAGGACCATTATTTTGGGAAAATCCTGCTGGGATTGATATAAGAGGAGACTACTAGAGACTTGGACTGCACTAAATTAAAAAATGACTGTCTGCAAATTAATTCCTAAAATCTCTAGCTAGGGTCGTAAATCCTAGCTCCTCTTTTCCTAATGACAGATTGTGGGCTGTAAGGACTTTATATCCTATATTATATCCTATAATATAGGATATATTTTATATCCTATCTAGATTTATAGGACTTTAATATCCTATAAATCTGTCTGTCGGTTAAAAACGAGACAAAGCCTCACATTTCAGTAAGTTTATTAATATTGTAGAAGAGCAGCAGGTCCTTATCCAAGCACTTGACCTCATGAGTGTCCAGTTGTGTCAGAAAAGATTCAGTCGCAATGCGTAAATAAAGTCTCATGAGTGTCCATTGTGTGGAAAAGGATTCAGTCAAGCTGACTGTACCCTAATCAAATAAATTGAATATAAATATGTCTGCATATATATTTGAATATATAAATTAAGTTAACAATTGCTTGCTTAGTTAATTTATAAGTTATCATATAAGTTCATTTAATTGAATGATTTCTAGTACTTAGTTAACAGTACTTAGACTACATTTAAAGTCATTTATTATACTTTTACAATTTAATTTGTTGTTTATAGTATAAGAATATATTGGCTGTTAATAGTTATGGTGCTAGGCTAGACTATGTACATGTTTAAATCTCTGATTTAAACAGAGCCAGTGTTCAGTCATATAACTGAATTTATAAAATCTTATCCTTGTATAAAATACAAGCTGATGTGAGAATCCCTGTCTACAGGTGGACTGGAACTTCTATCAACTTGTAACGTACACGCCGAGTGCTACATTGTTGACTGTGGAAATTGAACTGTTTTCTATTCATCAAATCGTTGCTTATATGGTGATTACACCTCAGTTTCCTCCAACAAGGTGAGGAGAGTATTACCTGTAATTGGGGAAAGGATTGTAGCTTCTGTAATTAGTTATGCTATTAAGATAATGAGATAATGGAGCGAGTATAAGATTAACTCGCTGCAAACTAATTCATTCACCCCACCTGTCCCTTACAGCCCACAATCTGTCATTAGGAAAAGAGGAGCTAGGATTTACAACCCTAGCTAGAGATTTTAGTTGAATTAATTTGCAGACAGTAATTTTTAATTTAGTTCAGTACAAGTCCCTGGTAGTCTCCTCTTATATCAATCCCAGCAGGTTTTTCCCACACTATGGGTAATGATATGTATTTGCAATACGTGGAGGGGGTGGAGCAATTAGCAACCCATCGTTCAGTAATGCCCTTTTCAGGTGTGACCGTAAGCCTCAAAACGTGTGTAGCAAGTTAACGAGCTGTGTATTACAATTTGTGAGTTGCTCAAATATATTTCAAATTTATTATATAATCATGTGTAAAGCGTTTTGCACTCATATAGGGGGGGACTAAATTAACGAGCTTTTGGTCTTTGATTTTGGGGACGAGATATTAAGCGACGTGCACTTTGAAAACAGGAAGTGAACGAAGCATTTTACAATGTTTTCACAGCTCATCATCAAAATAAAGGGCCGGAGGTTCACAACGCATAAGTTATATACTGACTTATTTATGTCTACATAAGCCAGTGCTTGGCTTAGAAATTGGGCTGAAGGGTGGGTTGTATTTTCAAGCTAAGCTGTGATGAAACACTTGCTTTCGAGCGGGATCATTCGAAATTCGAAAGAAGACCTTCTGAACCTTTTTTTTCTGCTTGTCATTTCCAGAGTTGTGTACCGGAGGAGGACCAGCTGTTCCGAGTGTGATAGAAACGTGAAATATTAAAACTCTAATGATGAATTTAAACACTTCTGCTGGAAAATAAACAGTTTTGTAAATATTCAGTTACAGAAAGCAGAAGTGACTGGATGTTGTAATATTGACAAATTGTTGGGACTAGTTGACATGAAATTAAGTTATGTTTAATGGCTGCCAGTCTTTTAAACTATTCGTACTTGAAGCACATTATGATATCGGTGAAGAATAACTGATATCAGGGCAGAAAATGCGGTTACCACTGTATGTTACTAAGTGTTTATGACTCGGCATAGTTTAGTGTCAAGTAAGAAATATTAGACGAAGAGATGCCATAAAGACTGTTGCAAAATTACATACATGTTGGTACATCTAATTCTTTGTGTGGATTGCATGCTTGGCCACCAGAGGGAGTGGATGTCTACGCTCCCTGCTCCAGTCGTGGGTGTGCTCAACAAGCAGTCGTTGGTGTGGTGGTTGGATGAGACCTTGTGCCCGGCGTGCTCTGCGAGATTGGAGGGGGGGGGGGCCTGAACCCAGTTTTCAAATCTCAGTCAGGTGGCATGGAGTATTCCGGCAATGTGGATTACCCTGCTGTGGAATGGACGCTGTTTGATGTGCTGGATGTCAACCTGAAAGCCGTGTGTAGAGTGGAACTCTTGACAAAGCATAGAGCGGTGGTGAAGTTCTCCAATGGCGAGGACTACCGGGTGTTTTTGCGATGCTATGAAGGGCGTACTTTACAGTTGCCGGGTGCTGCTGGGTCAGTTGTTATCTCCAACCGCAGTGGCGCTTACACATATGTCAGTGTACATGGCACCCCTATTGAATTCCTGGAGGAATTGTTGAAGCGGTACTTTGGTCAGTTCGGAAAGGTAGTGACTGTGTGGAGGAATGCTCTCACTTCCGGTCGCTTGAGGGGCGTCCTCAATGGCATTCGAACACTGGAAATGAAGCTTCGGTCTGGCATACCTTCCTCTGTCAGGCTGATGGGGTACACCTTCCGTGCTTATTATGCACGGCAGTCGCAGACGTGTTTCCATTGTGGGATGTCGGGCCACCCGGCTGCTGGGTGCTCTGCGGGCGTCGTCACTCTGGCGAATCTCTTCCGTGAGGGGGACTTCCCTTTGCAGGTTGATGCAGAGGTTCTGGTGGGTGTGGATGTGTCCTGGGATGATGTGCCTGTATGTGGTGCGGCTGCAGCTGGTGAGCATCGGACACCGGGTGTTGTACCCCTTGTCATATGCGTCTTCTGTGGCTGTCGTGGGTACTGTAGGCATGAGTGTGGTTCCCTCAACTTGCACTTCTGCGATTGCTGTGACCTGTTCTTCCATGGCTCCCGTCATGGCTCGCCTGCCTCTTCTGCCTGACATGCCTGTGGTGTGTGAGGGGTCGTGGCCTCCTGTTGTGTTTCGGCCAATTCCCCCTGTCTGAAGTCTTGCGTGCCAGTGCCAGAACGCGGCCTCCCTGCATCACTCGGGACTCGGATTCTGTGGCGGTGGAGAGCTCGGATGACGTGCACCCTGCCCCTAAGTGCTCGCGGCGCTCTTTGATTGTGTTGGCATCGGAAGGTTCCACCTGGGCAGACGTGGGGGATTTTGCGAGCTGCATTATCTTCCAGCGACGAAGGGTCAGTGCTTGGCGATGTTCCGGTGGACACGAAGGTGGTGGTGGTGGTGGTGGTGGCGGATGTCTATGCGTCGGATGCGGGTGCTGGTGTTGGGGGCTTTGTGTTGGTTCCTGTATCTTCCCCTGTGCCTCTTGCTGTATGCTCCCCGATGTGGTAGGTGGTGCTAATGGTGTCCTGTGATTGCTAATATGACCCGTGATCTCATAGTAGTACTTAAGAAGGATGCTCGCCGTTGGGGGGGGGACTCTGCTCCTGTGCCCGGTGCCTAGTGGTCCGTTGTGAGTGTAGACCCTGTAGTGTCGCAGCCCTTTCAGGGGGGGGGGGAAGGGTCGCCGTGTCGGTTGCTGCTGAGGAATGCTCGCCGGCCGCACCCTGACCCAGTATGGGGGTCAGGGTGCGGCTTGTCTCCTGGTGCTCGTCCACCGTATGGGTGTCCAGTGTACGGGCTTTTGTCTCTGATGTTCCTGAGTTTATGTCACGCCCTCGGGGGAAGTCTGGAAGTCGTCATCAGGAAGATGAGTGGATCATATGGGAGGTGTACTGTTTGCGTTTTCCGGTAAAGGATTATCCGCATAAATATGTGGAGGCATGGCCTTCCCACTTCTGTCTTGCTTTTGCATGTAAATAAAAAAAATCTTTGCAGTGTTTCTCGTCTTGTGCTGAAATATTACGGTGTGTTGCTACATATGTGTGTGCGAGCGTGTCGCCGGCAGTGATAGGTGAACCACTTGTCCCAGCCTGACCTCACTAGACGAGGTACTCCAGCTCCCTCGTCCTTGATGATCTGGTACTCCAGCTCACTCGTCTGTTAAGGTTAGCAACATCTCGACGATCAAGATTCATTTTTTACCTGCGGTGCTTATTTACGAGCATTTAAATATTATTTGTCATGTAGTATATAAGGATTTTATTATAAAAAATAAGTACAAAAAATATAAATAATCATTTTTCACGTCATTTCACGTGAGATGTATTCCACGATGACCCCATTAGCTCATCGTGGGATAGAAATTCACCAATTTTCAAGGAACACACAAAATTTTCATGTTTCCATTGATGCCATATTATGTTTGTTAATTATTCACATCCTAAAGCAGGCTGGCTGGTTGGCCTGCCGGCCGGCTGACTGACCAGCGGGAGGAAATGTTTTAGTGGTTCAGAGAGCATAAGGGAGCGGGAGAAAAAAGGAGAATGTGTTATGATGGCTTCAGAGAGCACAAGGGAGGGGGCGGGGGGGGGGGGGGGGGGGAAGTAGGAGGAACTGTTTGAGAGTTGTTATACGGAAACTATGCCAATTAGTGAAAACGGCGATATGTCACATTTTCCCCAAATCCCCCTGCAGTTAGGTTAGGTTTAGTTTAGGTCAGATCAGGTCAATAATATAATATAATAAAGTTACAACGAAGATTAGTTGTTATAAGTTTACCATATAGACATAGAAAGTTAATTTATTAAGGAGGTATGTCGCATGTTGAAATTTAAAATTGATTGAAAACGGGTACATTAGACTAACACTAAGACTATATACAGGATAAGACACCCCGAAGGGCGAGCTTGGAAGTGGGGAGAGAAAAAGATTTAGGGGGAGGGAGAAGAAGTATATTTTGGAGGAGAAAATGTGTCAGGGCTAAACCCAGCTGCGTGTCGTTAGTTTGTGACATTTGAGATAAGTACTTAGTCAGGTGTTTCAGTGGCAACAACAGGGACATCACAAAACTCACATCATCGTGGTGATTGGCTCAACAGCATCAGGGCTGAACGTTTACGAATAGTTTGTGCAGGGTGTTAAGAGCTGTATATTTGTAGATGGTGGATGCTAGGTGTTGAGAGCTAAAGTTTAACGAAATACAGAGTTAGGAGGAGGATCATGGATGGTAGAGAAGAGATCATGGGTGTTCCGTGGATGTCTAAGAGTGTGTGAGAGAAAGTCAATGTGTTCTTCGTGATAAGAGAGCAGTCCTTTAAGTTGTTTGTATAATAAAGCTTTCCAGTAGACATTGAGGGCAGGAATATTGGTACTATCATGAAGACATTCGCTGGTATTGAAATCGTCCCATCGAGTGTTAAGTACCCATCTAAGTGCTCTATTTTGTGTTCTGTGATGTTTTAGTTTATTAATGAGTGCGGCTAATGGAAAAGCTATTGGAGCATATGTTAGGAGAGTTAGGAGAGGTCTAATGAGGGCTTTATAGAGGTGCATTTTAGTATCAGGTTTTGCAAATTTAGGTCTGTACAATTTGTTCATGGCACACTGTTCTTAGTTATTGCATGTTTCTGTGTAATGTGTGTGTGAAAGAGTAGTTGTCGATCAAGTGTGAGGCCAAGAACTGTGGTGGAAGGAGATACAGAGATGTTAGTAGGATTAGGAGAGAGTGAATAGGGTTGAACAGGAATAGGGCATGCAGTTCTTTTACAGAAGAAGTAGGTGATTTTTTTATTTGTTGGAGTTGGTTTTAATGCACCAGTCATACACCCATTCCATAACAGTATCGAGTTCTGCTTGTGCTCTGTGTGATAGCGTGTCAATGGTGTTGCTGGTGACAAGGTGAGAGACGTCATTAGCGTAGCAGCTGGTTAATGAAGTATGATGAATAGGGTCAGGAATGTTGTTGATGTACTCACCTAATTGGGATTGCGGGGGTTGAGCTCTGGTTCTTTGGTCAATGCATAGGATGTAAAGTATCGGGGCAAGAACAGAGCCTTGGGGAATACTGGCGTGTAACTTGAAGTAGTCAGAATAGTGTCTGAGGAACATAATCCTCATTGTTCTACTCTCTAAGTAGTTAGAAAGAAGTTTAGTGGTGATAAGGAGAAGATTAAAGTTATTGCTTAGTTTGAATTTGAGACCATCATGCAAAACAGTGTCAAAGGCCTTCTCAACGTCCTTAGTGCAGTCCTAAGTCTTTGGTGATGACATGCTGATGTAATTGGTCATGATGTTTAAGGCGTCGTGTGTGGACCGGTGAGGCTGGGATCCAAACTATTTGTTAGTGAGTAAGTCATTGTCTTCTAGGTGCGTTCTGTGTCTCAAGTTGACTAGCCTTTCAAAGACTTTGCCAAGTGTCTCTAGAAGGCTGATGGGTCTATAGTTTTTTGAGTCAGTGTGAGGTTTCCCAGGTTTTGGAATAAGAACAGGAGTGGCAGATTTGAAGGTGAGGGAAATATCCAGAGGCAAGGAAGGCGTTGAATAAGTTAGTGATAGCAACAATGATAGAAACAGAGAGTTGTTTAAGGAGGGTATGTCCATTGCCAGACGCACCAGGGGCTCTGCGATGAGTGCTCATGAGAGCTGCCTTGACATCAGCTGGAGTCAGAGGAATCTGTAATTCATTGCGTGAGTTGAGGTTGTCAAGGTAGATGAGGTTGTCAGGTTTGGTTTCATGTCTGTTTTGGTGTACCCAGTCTTTAACTTCTTCAATGTTTGGAAGGGCAGTTGGTTCAGGAAGATGTGGATGAAAAAGGCGTTCCCAATGATGCTTAAAAATGTTAAGTACTTCAAGAGGCTCAGGGATTTTGTTGTTGTTGTTCTGTAGGAGGTATTTAAACGGTGTGTGAGTTGATCCTTGTAAGCGTTTGATTTGTTTCCAAAATTCCTGAGTTGTCAGTTTTCTGTGTTGTTCTGCTTGTTCAATGAGGTGTTTCCAGAGTTTTGCATGGTTTTCATTTAGGCTGTTAAGGATGTGGTTTTCTAATGTTGTGAGATCCCAGAGTACTTGTCCATGGTGATGAATGTTGAGTAAGAATCGAGATTGATAGCAAGCTAAGAGACGTTTTGTGCAAAGGGAAGGGGTGAAAGTGAAATGTGGTTTGTGAGTTGTTTTAGGAATGGAGATGTTTGCCGCATGGATGATGGTGTTTTGTATGTTGCGTGCTTGTGTGTCAATTTCAGTGTGATGTTTGTCATTGTATTTATAAGTGAAATCAGTGTCATCAATGTGTTGTTTGAACATGTCCCAATTTGCCCTTTGGTATGAGAATTGATGAGTGCTGGGGATGAGAACAGTCTCACAGTGGAGACTGTGAGAATTAGGGGAATATGATCAGAGCCCATAATGGGTCCTGGTGAAATGCAGTGTTGTCGATTGTTGCCAAGTCTGTCGGTGAATATGAGATCAGGTCTGCCAGAACCTGCATGACTGAAAAAGTTGGGAAGTCGGGGCCAAGGAAGAGTAGATGTTTTTGGATGTATAGTTGATGAAGCTGTTGGCCATGTTGATTTGTGTTATTGTGGTGGAATGTAGGGTGTTGTGCATAGAGGTCTACAAGCAGGAAAACAGGCAAGTGAGTGCGATTGAAGAGCGTGGTGATGTCTTGCATGGTAATCCCTGTGTTAGGACGGATGTAGATTTTACTGATGATGAGAGGATCCATTTGTGTGTGGATTTTTATGGCTAGAAAGTGTTTGTGAAGCCAGGGAGCGTGTAGGAGTTCGTATATATAGGAAGACTTTATGAGTGTGGCAACACCTTCATGTGCTTCATCAGGTGACTGGTAAGATGAGTAGCCAGAGTCTGATTTTATACGAGTTTGTGATGTAAGTGATATTAAGAAGCAGCACATTAGGACGTTCAGTCTGAATAAAATCAGACACCAGGTGTCTAATAGTGAAGAATGCCCGTACACTGAATTGTATGATCTTTATGAATGCGAAGAGTGAGGTTTTGAGCTTTGTGGGTGCGAGCAGAAACAGTGTAATGACTAGGTTGTCGGATGGTTTGGTTACTGGCTTACAGATTACAGGGTGTATCGGAAGGGGTCTTGCTGAAGATAGGAATGGCAGAGCTTTTTTTGTTTTGTGAGAGGAGAAATCCTTTACTAAGTCCAGAGTTCATGGCTTAGGGTAAAGGAGTAGGGTCTAGAGAAGTCAGATTGTCAGATGTCAGAGTGGTATTTTTTTCAGGAGTGGCGGCATAAGGGATATTGATGGTGGGTTCAGTAAGGAGAGAGGAGAGGTCAGTGGGTTGAGAGGAAGAGGCAGTAGGATGAGAGGCTGGGTCGATGGGATGCGAGACTGCATCATTGAGGGAAGAGGCAGATTCAGAGTGAGGAATGGTCTTATCAGGGGAAGGTTGGGATAGTATATGCTGGTCAACAGTGGATGGATTTCGTTTTCTGTGTCAATCTTAGAAGCTCTGGCGTTGGAAGTGTGGGAGACTGTAGAAGATGTAGTTTGTAGCTGTGTCAGAGTATCCACCGTGGGACCGTGGGGGAAAAGGGAACAGAGCGCAAGAGGTGTAGAGGAGGTACAGAAACACTAGGAAGGCCACTATAAGTGAGAAAGATGGGAAGGTATTCAGCAAAGTCTCGACAATCATCTTTAGCTTGCATATATGCTGCTTGGACGCAGGCTGTGACTCGCTTATATATCAAGTTCAGGGGCCAGATTCACGGAGCAGTTACGCAAGCACTTACGAATCTGTACATCTTTTCTCAATCTTTGGCGGCTTTGTTTACAATTATTAAACAGTTAATGAGCTGCGAAGCATCAGGAGGCTGTTTATAACAATAAAAACACTTGATTAGGAAGTTTCATGTTTGTAAACTGTTTAATAAATGTAACCAAAGCCGTCAAAGACTGAGGAAAGATGTTCAAGTTCGTAAGTACTTGCGTAACTGCATCTTGAATCTGGCCCCCTGGAGAGGAGAGTATGGTAAAGGTAGTGGGTGAGGGAAGAGAGGTGGAGAGGGGGTGAGTGTGATGGGCAGTTGTAGGGTGGTGTTGGTGCTGGTTAGGGTAAGCATTTAGGGCACTTGAGTAGGACATGGAGTTGGCTGATGCTGTTTGGTGATGGGATGGGTTTTGGGATGTTGAGGAAGAATGAGGTTGTGCATGAGATGCGAGGCTGGTTAGTGGAAAGAGTTTTCAGAGTTTGCTTCTTCAGAGGGCGTGATTTCCCTACTGCTGAATGAATACCTTGGCAATTAA